ATGTATACTTTCAGCAACGCATAAACAATTTGTATGAAAGTATCTGAAATATACTGCTATCGACCGTTCGCTGTGGCAGTCTCAAAAGCCGATAGCGAGGCACATTTATAGTCGCTGCCAGGTTGCTGCTGTTGCACTCCGGCGTTTGCGCGTACGCACAAACAAATTTTCACACTCAACTGAAGCGACTGTCAGCTAACTGAATACCCAGTCAGTCGGCAAGACGAACATAGTTGCAAGCAAATAAGCATACAAATATTTGTATATGGTATAGGAATTTGAGTGTGGTGGAATTAGATGTTATTTTGGAAATTAAAAAAAAAAAGTTAAACAAAAAAATAAAATATTGAAAGTATTAAATAAAAAACTTTAGTTTCAAAAAAAAAAATAATAAAAATTAAATAAAAAAAGAAAATATAATATTAAAAAATAAACAAAAAAATATACAAAAAAATTTAATTAATAAAAAAAGATTAAAAATAAGATAAAAAAAAAAAATTAAAATCACAAAACGATGTGAAATAAATTTAAATGCCTTTTTTTTTTGAAATTCCGTCAAATAATATATAAATTTTGTTCAATATAAAAACATTCGTTTCAACAAATTTGAAGACTTTTTATTAAAATTTTTTTTTAATTTGTTATACTTCTATATAATTTTTGTTTTGATAAAATTTTATATTATACAAAAATAACAAAGTTTAAAATTTCACAAATAAAATGGTAGGGAAGGGCACCTAAATAAAAATTGATAAATGGGCGTGGCACCGCCCACCTTAAGGTGAATTCTTATATCTCAATAAGTTCTCCACCAATTTCAGCCCCATTTGATAGAAAGCATTGTATTGACGTTGGCATCTCACAGTGAGAAAATGGGCGAAAACGGTATACAACCAAGCCTGCTTTTCACATAAAATCTTTATACAATACATAAATACATATTTATTTCATTTTACAGTAGTACGAGTATACAAATAAAAAACCAATGAAGCAATCGGGAGAAAAATTTATACAAATAGTGCTCTTAGTGCTCAATATGTGGACGAAAATAGTGATCAATCTCTAAAATAAACCATGACAATGAAACTTAGAAAACGTCTTCTTCCGGTAAAAATTGGTAAAATCGGGTCATTGGTTCATATAGCCCCCGAATATACATATCATACGGATTTTTATAATACCGGTTCACTTTGTGGCTTATATATATATTATATATGTCAACATGTATTTATCTTTATGGAACTCGCGAAGCATATTTTTTTGGTAACAATATATTTTCATGCCCAATGTGGATAAAATCGGGTCAATATTTCTCCTAGCCGCCATATATCCAATATAAATATTTTCGAACTTCCGGTTAACTTTATACCGCACAAATCGGTCAATATATAAGAGATCTTAATGAAATGCAGTGAGAATCTCTTTTTAATAACAATGTATTCCTGTGCCTAAAATGGAACAAATCGTGTAAGAGTAAAATGATTATTATAATATTATAATATATATCAGACCTCATGACCCCTGACCCGGATGGCTTTAGGGTAGATATTATGGCTATTATATATTATAGAGTACTATTATAGGGTAATCTAATGAAATAGACGCTTCACCAATGAACTCAACCGGTTAAAATTGTCTTCTGAGTATTAGCGCTAATTTCATACTCAACATTTTTAGTGACAATTGGTGTAAGCACTTTAATTAACGCCAGTATTTTCTGGAAAAATTTAATAGCATCTAGCGTGCGATCCACACCTAACCTCTTTACTATCATTTAAAATCTGAATTTCAGCGAATATTTTTCTCTACGTCGCCTGTTCGATTCAGATTCTATAGCTCACTTGCAGCACGCCTGCGCCGCCGCCACCCTCGCCAATGTCACACCAAGGTGAGTGTATAAACAATTACGAACGCAATAATCATCGAACTAAAATATAAATAAATGTCTGCCCAACAAAAACAACAAGACACATTAATGATAATAGCTACAAAATATGTAGTAATAAGGGGAACAACAACAATAGCAAATGGTAAGTAATAACAGCGCGCACATTCGAGTGACAAGCAAGCAGTCGGTAGCAGAGGGCGCAGCGGCAGAGGCAGCAATAGCGGCAACAACAGTCAGCAATGCGCGAAAACGGCAGCCGCGGTAGGCAAAAAAAATAAACAACAAAATCCAAAAAAAAAAAAAAATAAACGGCAGTAACCACAATGACTTACAACAACAAGCAAAAACAAAAGATAATGACAGAAGAAAATGGCAAAAACAAAAGCAACGGCGAACAATAAAAATACTAGCAATCACAAAAAATAACATGCATTCACCAACACCAACAACAACAACAACCAAGCAACAAAGCCAATTGTCGGTTGAGCCACACAGCAGCCAGCCAACAGTTGGCAGTCAGCAGCAATAGCCATAAAATGGTAGCAGTATCAAGTTTTATGTACTGGAGGGTAATCCATGCAGTCCCACCAACAGCACCAGCACTCTACCGCGCGCACCGCCTACCGCGCAGTGCACCACGCACCAGGCAGCACCAGCACCAATAGCCCACCATAACTGCGCGCTGGTTCTCCACTTCCACGAACGCATGGTGGCCGAAGAAAAACAAACACAGCGCAAAACCTACAGTGAAACGTAAACTGAAAATTCAGCAGCTGGCTGAGAACGGCTACGAGCGAGTCCCTGTTATCGGATGTTGAAAGTATCATAAGAGATTTTATGTTTTACCCATGGAACGCGCTCTCAACAGCTTCGACTAAAAGTTTCCTTCTCAAGTACTCTTCCAGCTTTTTATATATTTCTTTAAAAATTAACCGAATACCGTAAGTCCACAACTAACCGTTCTTAGAATTTCGCAACTTTGTAATACTCTAAGTTGGTAGAGCTCTGGGCAATTAGTGCCGTTTGCGGCAGAAAAAGCATAGTTCGCAAAGTTGGAAAATTTATAAATTTTTTTTGTCGATATGCCATGCATATCTATGGTATTAGTGTGCCTACAGATGTGATCAATAAATACGAGATCAAGTAAAGCTTTAGGCTTTAAGAAAACCTTTTCGTGAAGAAGTATCGCTTCAAAAATATTTTTGATTTTACAACAGCATACTGACCGATGAATTTCAGTAAGCCCATGAGTACGTTTAACGTCAGTTAAAGTAACAGTTAAAGAACTAAAATTTAATTTGCTAAATAATTTTATTAAGTACTGTTCGCCAGTTTATCGGCTCCCAGATCTTTGTTGGTGTATTGTTATATAGTCAGTGGTGAGTTTTTTTCGGTTGAGTCATCAAATGTTTTTCCAACCGGTCCGTCTTAATATCATTTTTGAACAAGGGTGGCGAGCTAATAAAGAATTCACTAATCAAATCAAAATAGAAGTTGAGAGTTAATACAGACGAAACAAGACAGCCATGTTGCTGTTATCAGATTAATTGCAGTAGGGTTGAGAGCGTAAGCATAGTCTAAGATTTAAGAGAAATCAACAACGAAGGAGAATAGATTGCAAGTTCTATCTATAAAGTTTCTATAAACATATTTATATAGCTATGGTTTCGGAGTGAGTTATATGAACTCCGAAACAGCTATTACGATTAGGTTACGTTCGTCAGAACAACTTGCTATGTCGAAATTTTCCAGGTAAGTAATACTAAATTCAGAAAATAGTAACACAAAATTGCAAAATTTCGCAACCGGGAGATATACGCTTAAAAAAAATTCGATAAAAATAGCTAATCGCAATCGAGAAAATTTAGAACTAGTATTTTACGAGCTCCGTGCACCAGCACACTTCATATATAATATATTCCGATTTCACTCAAAGATTATTTCAAGAAAGAATTTCAAATCTCATCAATACCCACTGTACACCAGTGCCTGGAGGTAATATCTCAAAGTTGTTTCCAGTTGCTGTTATTTTGTATCGTTTTACTTGTTCATGATCTTTTTTCGTGTTTTGCTTTCTGTCTTCATCACATTTCAGCGTATAGGTTTTATTTTTCTGGTTGCTTTTTCAACATTTGGTGTCTATGTGAGCGTGTGTCTGACATTTTTTTACGCTCACAATTCGTTATACGAAATTCTTCAGGTTTTCAAAGCCGTTTCCACGCTGCTAACGTTGGGTCTATGCGGTCAGAAGCGGCAAACGAACATCAAGACTAACAGACAAATGGAGAAACCGACGAACTAACCGGCATAGAATAAGCACCGACAAACGCAACAAACAGTGTGACAGTTAGGCTCTTGGACACAATGCGAAAACGACCAACGTGCCGACGACGTACATGACCGCAACAACAATTCTTCATTTGCGAACTAACGCGTTGAAGAAAACTTGTTCCTCTCACCAGCCAATCGGAGTTCAACAGTTTGCTCACAGCGCTCACCAGCACGCATAGCCCGTCGAACAGGTAAGTAACAGGTAAATTACCGATTGGAATGGTGGCGCTCAATGTGCGCGCACACACAACGAAGCGAATACGTGCGCGACGAACAGGCCGCAGCACCGCGCCGAAAAGTTGGCCTGTGCGCACACATGCAAGTTAATGAAAACAAACAAAACAGCAGGGAAAACCAGCAGATAACAACAATAACAAAACCCATACCGCTTGCACTCATTACTCTCCCGGTAGTACGTGTAGTGGCAGTCGGCAGTGGCAACAGCGGCACCGCCACAGTAGTCAAGTCAACCCAGTCAATCGGTGGCTCAGTGGCTCGTTGGCTCTTTTGTATAATGCTGCAACTGGTTTTTGGTTAACTTGGTGGCTAACGCTTGTACGACACGTCAGTTGGGAGCGCGCGCATATGGCGCTCTGAGCGAATAGCATAGAGCGTCAATCATTGAGGATCACAGGTGTTTGTGAGCACTGCGTTTTGAGTTCGTAGCATTTTATCTCTCACATTCTCTCACTCTCTGTAGCAGCTTAATGGGCGCTCTTTTTTCGAATTGGGTGCAGCAAAAGGTTTTTAGGCTCGTTGCCCCCAACCGTGCCACTCTCGGATTAGTCTTGAGAAGTTGATCGTACCAATCGCACCTGTAGATAGACGTAACGGTCGAAACGCAGTGAGCAATCATACGGACGGTTTGGATTTTGCTCTGTTTCTGTTGTTGTTGTTTTTTTTCGTTTGTGTGCCACGCTCTTTTTTATTAAGCGTGTTTAGCTGTGTGTTCATTGTCTCAATAACAACGACAAATACAACGCGTACACCAATACATAAAAGTGTCCTCCAACAACTACAACTAATATACTGTGTATGTGTAAGAAATGAATAAATAATAAAGGAGTATATATATACATAAGTATAAGAAGATTAAAGTGCGCAGTAGCAGTGGCGACGAGCATTCGTTTCAACGGAAGCGGTAGTGGTGAGAAAAGGCACGAAACCCTGGGCAAGGTTACCTAAGCTGGCGGGCGGGCAGGCGGGCGGTCGGTCGTACAGAAGGTGGCTGGCTCATAGAGAGGTTTGCCGCGCATCTCAAAGGGATCGTGGTGGGATTTCAAGCGCTTGTTATAAAGCAAGTCGCTGTTGTTTTTGTAATTTGCGACTTTTTGCATGCTTTTGTTATTGCGCGCGTGTCTTATTTGAACTTGCAGCTTAGCGTTTCGTGCGATCTCGAGAGAGAGTTTACTCTCATCTGATTTGTGCAGTCTGCGGACATTCAAACTCGCGCTCTGAAACGTTGAAGCGACTCACTCACCAAAAACTTGGCTGTCGATTTTCCATTCACCACAACTCGTTTTCTAGCATTCGAGTGTCGGATGCGCTGGCGTTTGGAAAAAGGTGATATCTACAGATAGGCACACATACAGTTAGAAATGTGATCTGTACGTACATATGTGTGTGTATGTGTATCATGTACGACGTTCGGCTGAGCTTAGAAGGCATATCTTTACGGTGTCTATACTGTCAGTGCGCTAGCTATATTGCTATACATATATATATATATATTTGTATATATGTATATGCTGCCTCGTGTACATATGTATGTGTGTATGTATGTGTATCATGCGACCACAGCGCGATTTCGACAATTTTCTAGCATCGTTCAGCGTTTAACGTCAACCGCGTCGTCGCCGTCGCCGTCGTTGTCGTTGTCGATATCGTCGTCGTTGCGCTATAGTCGTTTGGTCGTGTGGGTAGAGATTGGGACTACTTGAGGAGCGATTTGGTAGCTGCACTGGCTTCAGCTCCTATTTCAAAACAGAATGTAGGAAAACACATTTCAACTGCTGTTTGGCCAGCACCACCAAGCGAGTTGGAGTTTTGGCTTACAACGCAACTTGTGGTTCTTGTTCTTGTTGTTGTAGTTACTGTTGCTTTTCTCGATTTTGTGTTTTTTTGTTGTTTAACTTTTGCTTTATTATTTTATTATGCTGTTACCAGAGGGTGTACGTATGTATTGTATATATGTGAGTGTATGCGTATTGTTGTACACATATACATAAATAAATACTCATAGCTATACATGTTTTGGTAAATGTATTGACTAGGCAACAGGGCGTCACAATGGGCCATGATAGACGATCGAATAGCGATAGGTTTATGGGCGTTCACGCAGTTGTAGTCATGAAAGGGGTAAGATAATGGCTTGTAGGTAGGAAATTAATGCACATGCACGTGTGTGTGTATATGTATGTGTGTAGAGTAGCTGATGCAACTGCTGGAGTTTACTGAGGCGACATACATACATACATACAAGTTTTTTAGATTATTAGATGTTGGAAGTGGTAAAAAGGGTTGCGGAACGTGCGGGAGTTGGAAAATTCCTAAGCAATGGGAATAATGTGTGAAAAGAAAGCCGCAGTGAAATCAAAAAAAATCTTTTAAAAATCATGTGTAACATACATATTTTAACTGAACAAAACCGAAGTGAGAAATTAAAAATAAAATATGTAAAAAGTTGGAAATTACTAAAAACATTAGAATAAAAAGTAAAATTGTGAAAATTTAGAAAACAACATTGACATATTAAGTTTAATGAAAAGAAAATTATAAAAAATTTTATAAAAAAGAAAATATTGCAAAAAATATGTAAAAAAATTGAATAAAAATATAAAAAATTAAAAAAAAACAAAAAATATAACAAAAATTTAAAAATATTAAAAATTAAAATTTTTAAAATAAAAAAACGTATAAGAAAAAAATAATAAAATATAACAAAAACATAAATATATTAAAAATTTTAATTTTACTAAATAAAATGAGTCAAAACACCAGAAAAAATAAAAATTTAAGCAAAAATTTATAAATTTTAAATAAAAAAAATTCAATTTCAATGAAAGTCATTCATTTTAATTATGGTAAATTTTTGTATCATATTTTTAGTTATTCTAAATACATACATTGATAATATAATTTAAACAGTTTCTAATTTCATAATTTTAATTTATGTAAGAACAGTACTAGTTTTTCGTGTTTCAGTGCACTTTTTTCTTAAGAAAGATTACATATTTTTGTAAAATTAAAAAAAAAAATTTAAATTAATAAAAATGTATGTTTGTCGGCACCAACGACTAAAATATTAAAATTTGTTATGTTGATTTAAAATTTTTTTAATTGCACTGTTTATAAAAAAAAAGAATAACATATAAAAAAATAAGACAAATAAAAATTAAAAACATGAATTTAAAAAAAAATCCGATAACAAAGAACACCAGTTATTATGTTTAAATGTTTTACTCAAAATTATTTTATTTAAATTTTTTTCCTTCTCCATATACAATACATTTTTGAATTAATTCAAAACAAATTTTATAATTTTTAATTATGTTCAAAAAGCAATACTTTTTCATGTTTAATAAATTTTTTCTTATGAAAAATTAAATATGTTTGTGAAATTATGTTTGAAAATTAGTTAAAATTAAAGAAAATTTATGTATGCCAGCACCAACAAGGGAAATATGGAACTTTTTTTTGCAGTTTTTGATGCCGCTTTCATAATTCTAATTTTACTTAATATTTTAATTTTTGTTTATTTTTTAATTTGTAGTAAATTTTTTAATATTTTCTAATTTTATTTATTTTAATTTAAAAGTTAATATTTTTGAATTTATTTAATTGAATTCAGGGAATACATATTAAAATTAATATTTACTGTTTTATTTATTAATTTTTCATGTAATTTTTTGATGTTTATTACTTTATTTATTTATAATTTTAATTTAAAACTTTATATTTTTTAATTTATTTTGTTGACAGAAAATAATGGACAATAATTAGAAAATTTCTATTTTATATTATTATAACTTTTAGTTTTTTTAAATTGATTCATTTCTATTTATTTTTTATTAATTTGTTTTCTGTTTTTTAATTTTTATAAACATTTTTGTTAACTTTTTATTGATAAATCATATCAAATGTGTGAATGCAAAGTGTTAAAGAATTTTTCCAAACTAACAAAAAATATTTTGCATTTATTTAATTATAAATTCTATTTTATGTAACTTGTTTGTTAAACAGTCGGTTAAACATTTTTTTCCAATTAAAAAATTCAAAAAAACATTTCTATCAAATACAACTATATTTTTTTATAATAAACTGTAATAGTTTTCGAATGCTTGCGTTTTTCACTTTAAATTTTCTAATTTTTTCAAATTATTTTTGAAATTTTTTTTACCGTCCAAATAATTTTAAGTGCCAAAATAAATTGAATTGCTATATATATAACGTAAAAAGCATATTAAAAAAAAAATTTTTTTTTTAAATATCATTTTTTTTTGTAAAATAAAAAAAAGATGAATGCTTTCGATTTCATACTAAATATTCTAATTTAAAAAAATTAGCTTCTAAAGTTGTAACTTAAGAAGTTTTACTTCATTCAAATTAAACATTTAATATCAAAAAGTTTTTTTATAACAAAATTAAATAATTGTGAAAATTTTTCTTCTTCTAATTATGTTTTATTTTTTCTATAAATTGCTCTATTTTTATATAAAAAAGACAATAATCCAAAAATCTTTTTTAAGACAATAAATAAAACTGATTAGTTAAATTTTTTGAAATGAAATACATTATATCGATATTTATATAAATTCAATATAAAAAAAATATAAATATCTGATTCTGTCGAAAAAATCAATAAATTTAAAAAAATTAAAAACGAAATATAAAGATAATAATTGTGTAAAAGATATTCGAGTGCATACTATCGTCAGAATTTACACAAAATTTCATTAAAAAATGAGAGAGAAACATAATACATATCAAAAATTGCTAAAGAAAAGTGAGTTTGAGTATTAAAAAAAAAAAAAAATGTCCAAAAGTGCAGTGAAATTAAAAACTAACAGCAATTTTTGAATGCTTCAAAAAACCACAGCAAAAACTCCAACCAAGTGAGGTGCAAGAAAAAAGAAAAATATTTCAACACACATTCATAAGTACATAACTACACACGTCTGCATGTACAAATAAATATGTATGGGTGTGTGTGTATGAGCAGTAGCCTGCATGCATGTGTTCGTGCATTTGCTTGTGTGCGAACAGGTTTTTATTTAAACTACGCGCTCGAAAATGAAGTATTGTCTTCGTTGAGTTCGGGCCGAAAAGAACGACATCAACGTGTGGAAAGGTGAAGAAAGGCGCAAGTAAAGAGTGAAGCACATACACACATACAAACAAACAAACATATAAAGTAAAATTGATAAAACAAAAAGGAAAAATAAATTTAAAAAATATACAAAAACAACTGTATGTGAGGCTGTGTGCCTTTTGGTTTCGTGGAAGTGTAAATGCATTTGTATTGTGTATGTGTGTGTACATGTGTGTAACTGTGTATTGGTGCGCTTATGCTGGCATGCAATGTTACTGTTGGCCACAATTTTCTTCCTCGATCGCCGTTGCAGCTGGACTTGGAGTTAATTTTCGTGCTATGCTCATTTTTTATTGTTTCCTTTTTTTTTTTGGCTGTAGTCAAAAGTGAAGGCTGCAACGATTTGTGTGTGATTTCGTTAATTTTCTGTTATAATTTTTATTTTATTTTTTGCGTTTTCGGTGTGCACTGAAAGCATACGCTGTGAGTTATTTAAATTGACCTAAACATGATTGGAAAAGTATTTTTGAACTAAAAAAATTTTAATTTTTTAATAAATATAAGAATTATAAGGAAATTGCAGCGATGTGAAGTAGTGAACTGCGAAATATTGCAAAATAATTATGCCAAAAATATTTTTTTATAAGCAGCTCTCTGTGCAAAACTTTTACAGTTAAATATTAATAAAATAAATTAAAAAAGTGGTTCAATAAATTGTGGAT